TGGCTCCCGCAGGTGGAGGCGCAGCTGCAGGTGGAGCAGGAACCTAAAAAGGCCAATCAGGTCCTTATTAGCTCTAATAATTGGCTAATAATTCCTTAATTTCACCTAGAAACGCCGTTTTTTCGCCTATTACCACCCCGATTTCGCTAATTATACATTAATTAGTGATTAATTACCGGCTCGCGCAGCTGCAGGTGGTGCAGAAGCTGGAGGAGAAGGATCAGACCTTCATTAGCTCTAATAATTGGCTAATAACCCCCTCATTTTACCTAGAAATGCCGTTTTTTCGCCTATTACCGCCCCGATTTCGCTGATTATTAATTAATTAGTGATTAATTAATGGTTCCCACAGGTGGAGGCGCAGCTGCAGGTGGTGCAGGACCCAAAAAGACCAATCAGATCCTTATAAGCTCTAATAATTTGCTAATAACTCCCTAATTTCACGTAGAAGCGCCGTTTTTTCACCTGTTCTCGCCCCGATTTCGCTGATTATTAATTAATTAGTGATTAATTACCGGCTCCCGCAGGTGGAGGCGCAGCTGCAGGTGGTGCAGGACCCAAAAAGACCAATCAGGTCCTCATTATCTCTAATAATCGGCTAATAACCCCCTAATTTCACCTAGAAACGCCGGTTTTTTGCCTATTACCATCCCGATTTCGCTGATTATTAATTAATTAGTGATTAATAACGGCTCCTGCAGGTGGAGGCGCAGCTGCAGGTGGATCAGGAGCCCAAAAAGATCAATCATGTCTTCATAAGCTTTAATAATTGGCTAATAATCCCTTAATTTCACCTAGAAATGCCGTTTTTTGGGCTATTGCCGCCCCGATTTCTCTGATTATTAATTAATTAGTGATTAATTACCAGCTCCCGCAGGTGGAGGCGCAGCTGCAGGTGGTGCAGGACCCAAAAAGACCATTCAGACCCTCATTAGCTCTAATAATCAGCTAATAATTCCTTCATTTCACCTAGAAACGCTGTTTTTTCGCCTATTACTGCCCCGATTTCGCTGATTATTAATTAATTAGCGACTAATTACCGTTTCCCGCAGGTGGAGGCGCAGCTGCAGGTGGTGCAGAAGCTGGAGGAGAAGGAGCGGGGCCTGCAGAGCNTTGGGTTAAAAATGGGGTTTTTCGGGGTTTGGGGTTACTTGGGCACACCTGGGATACAATAACCGACAGAAACAAGATGGCCGACGTTCTGAAATACGGCAAGATGGCCGCCACGAGGTGATGTAATAACCCGCGCCTAGTGGTGGCGGCCATCTTGTCCCATTCGCTGGTGGCGGCCATCTTGTCTATATGGGTTATTGCATCACATCATGGCGGCCATCTTGTGTCTCTGGGCCACTCTATCTGGCGACGGCGGCCATCTTGTCTCTCTGGGCTATTGCATTACCTCATGGCGGCCATCTTGTGTTTCTGAGTTATTGCATCATCTCATGGTGGCCATCTTGTCTCTCTGGGTTATTGCATCACCTCATGGCGGCCATCTTGTTTTTCTGGGTTATTTCATCTGCTGACAGTGGCCATCTTGTCTCTATGGGTTATATCATCATCTCATGGCAGCCATCTTGTTTCTCTGGGTTATTGCATTACATCATGGCGGCCATCTTGTCTCTCTGGGTCACTCCATCTGCTTACGGCGGCCATCTTGTCTCTATGGGTTATTGCATCACCTCGTGGTGGCCATCTTGTCTCTCCGCTTTATTCCATCTGCCGATGGTGGCCATCTTGTCTCTTTGGGTTATATGTTCTCATGTACACCATCTTGTCTCTCTGGGCCACTCCATCTGCTTACGGTGGCCATCTTGTCTCTGTGGGTTATTGCATCACCTCATGGTGGCCATCTTGTTTCTGTGGGTTGATGTATCATCTTCTGGCAGCCATCTTGTCTCCCTGGGTTGTTGCATCACCTTGTGGCGGCCATCTTGTCTCTCTGGGTCACTCCATCTGCTAACGGCGGCCATCTTGTCTCTGGGTCATTCTATCTACTGATGGCGGCCATCTTGTTTCTCTGGGTTATTCTATCCGTTGATGGCGGCCATCTTGTCTCTCTGGGTTATCCCATCCGCTGACGGCGGCCATCTTGCCGTTACCGCAGGAGGAGGAGGCGCTGCTGTCGGAGATGGACGTGACGGGCCAGGCCTTCGAGGACATGCAGGAGCAGAACCTGCGGCTGCTGCAGCAGCTGCGCGAGAAGGACGACGCCAACTTCAAGCTGATGTCAGAGCGCATCAAGGCCAACCAGATCCACAAACTGCTGCGCGAGGAGAAGGACGAGCTGGCCGAGCAGGTGCTGGCCCTCAAGGCACAGGTGAGGCCCCGAAGAAGTCATTAATTATTAATTAATTAATATTAATTGAATTCTATTAGCAGTTAATAAGTACTTATTAGTTTTTAATAGCATTTATTGGTGACTTAATACCCATTTATCAGCTGGCCGAGTAGGTGCTCGCCCTCAAGGCACAGGTGAGGCCCTGAAAGGGTCATTAATTATTAATTCATTAATATTAGTTAGATTTTGTTAGCTCTTAATAGTTACTTATTAGTTATTAATTGAGTTTATTAGAAACTTAATACCTATTTATCAGCTGGCCGAGCAGGTGCTGGCCCTCAAGGCACAGGTGAGGCCCCGAAAAAGCCATTAATTATTAATTAATTAAGATTAATTAGATTTTGTTAGCTATTAATAGCTACTTATTAGTTTTTAATAGAGCTTATTAGTGATTTAATACCCATTAATGAGCTGGCCGAGCAGGTGCTGGCCCTCAAGGCACAGGGGAGGTCCCAAAAAAATCATTAGTTACTAATTAATAATTATTAATTAGATTCTGTCAGCCATTAATAGCTACTTATTAGTTATTAATAGAGTTTATTAGTGATTTAATACCCATTTATCAGCTGGCCGAGCAGGTGCTGGCCCTCAAGGCACAGGTGAGGCCCCGAGAAGTTCATTAATTATTAATTAATCAATATTAATTAGGTTCTGTTAGTTATTAATAGCTATTTATAAGTTATTAATAGAGTTTATTGGTGATTTAATACCCATGTATCAGCTGGCCGAGCAGGTGCTGGCCCTCAAGGCACAGGTGAGGCCCCAAAAAAGTTGTTAATTAATAACTAATTAATATTAATTAGGTTCTGTTAGCTATTAATAGCTGCTTATTAGTTATTAATAGGATTTATTGGTGATTTAATACC